ATATACATTTATGCTTTTTTAGTTAAACTCATAAATGCATTAAAACGGAATAAAGAAAAAAAACAGCTTTAGATTACTTCTCAAAATTCGAATAGTAATAAAGTATTTCTTTGAAGATTTATGTAATGCATTTGTTGCTGCAAATATTCCTTTGCATAAGCTAGGCAATCATGTGTTAAGATCATTTTTTGGAGTAATGAGTAAAGTTTTCAGATTTTAAGAACTCCTGAAAGGAAACAGTTCCATATATATTTCTAAACCCAGAACTACTATAAATTTGCTGTAGTTCAGTTTTTAGTTTTTGTCATCAAAATAATATGGATACACATTTGTTGTTTGATTAAAATATTATTCGAGCAAATTTTTAAAATATTTTTCGAAGTTTTCAATAAATAAATTTAATGCTAAGAGATGACCGGTAAAATTAAATCGTTCTTTTGCTTGAGATATAATGAAGTCACAAACTTCCATGGCTCCTTGTTTAAGTTCATTCTTTTTCTTTATTTTGTTTCGCTCATTAAAATCTTGCATAAACATACATTCACATATTTTATCTATTTTATTTCTTATATTTGAAATTATATTAGTAAAAGTATCAATATTCTGTAATTGATTGTATGAAATATCAACATAATATTACGGAAGATAGTAAGCCAAGAAATCGTCTTTCAATGTTCTTTTTAATCCCAGAGAGGCTTGCTGAATAGTAGGCATATGTTTAATAGTTTCATTATTTATAATATTTTCCATACATTTAATTAAATCTTTCCTATACTCAAAAACCGTATTAACTGTTCGAGAATGATAATTCCATCCTGTCTAAGGGGCCCTTAGTAAACGTTTATTTATTACTCTGTCTTAAATGGAGCTTGTTAAGAAAATGTTAAAAAATATGTACAAAAACTTCCTAGATTGATAGAAAAATTCTAACATTTCTATTTATTGATGCAGAATTGTACGTTACTAATTTAAGCTGATTATCGTTACAGTGGACATATTGAACACTTGAATAATTTTGCTTTATTATCATCTATAGGACGCCGTTACTATGACCACTCATAACTGAAGCGTTATTATATGATTGAGTAATTAATTTACCAATTTATTTTACTATATGTTTATCAAGCTGTTCTTTAATACAATCAGATAAACTTGAGCATTATGTTCATTAGTATTTGAAAATACCCAAAATCACTCTACCGACTTATAATTTACGATATAGTGGTATACAATTACCATTTGAAAAACACTACTAATATCGGTAGTTTCATCATCCGAATAATTCGCCTTTCAATATCTAATGATATTTCTTTTTACCAAACATCTAGCATACCTTTTAATAATTAATTTTGAATAATTGTTTACGTGCCTTTCAAAATCGTCGCATTTTCACGCATTATCCAATTCTATACTAAAACTTACTTGGTCTCGAAAAATACCCGGGTTTAGAAATGTTTCATTTTCATCATAACCTCTTAATTCCAACTCAAATGTGCCACAAAAACGAATACAATTAATCGTTATTAACATGCTATTCAAAATATATCTACACCTAAAAACATAATTTTAAATTAACATTTATATTAACAAAATAATATTAATACCTCTTCTATTACTACTGTCCTACATAGAAAGAATATTAATTATTTTTCACAAAAAAGCTAAATTAAATGTATTATTTATATGTTTTTCATCCACACTTAATTAAAACTGTTATAACTAAGAGATTGTTCATCGGATATGAAAGTGAAAAATGTGTTTTAATCATTTATTTTAAATGGCTATTTTTAAAATGTTCTAAAGTGAATGAACAAAGTAACTTTTGATTTGTTTTTAGGGGATGAAAAAAAAATTAAATTTTTTTCCAAATCGATGTCCCCCTCGAAGTCAAACCGATTAAAAAAAAATCGAAAAAGATTTATTATTAACAGTGCAAGAAAAATCCGACACACAGTATACGTTATACATTTATTATGAAATAATACTGGCCATACGATGCAGAAAACAGAATACAAATGGAAAAACTTCGAAATTAATCATAGATAATGTTAATTTTAAAAATTGGTTAGCAGTACTAACTGCGCACAGAGAGATTGTTAATCGTCTACCATACGCATTTTATACAGTCGTGCTGTGTACAGTGTTGTGCATCGATTGGTGTGTGCATATATTGCATAACTCTTTTTATTTTAGGAGCAATACTATGTTAAACCGAAAAATATTTTTTAATAATTTTTTTCATAGCTTCCCGATATCCTTAATGAACAATTTATAATGATTAGGTTTTAAAAAAAAAAAACACTAAACTGCTGAACACTATTAACCGAACTCTCCCCAGAATCGTTTTTTCGATTTTTTGAAAATTATACGATGATGCGTAAAATTGACTGTTATTTTGTTTTATGCATGACCATCATCAGTGCCCAATGTATTGTAAATTTGTATCTTAAAAGACAAGCGCGTACTTTTATACCCATATCATTTTTTATATTGGATAGATCGCTTTCTATTATATAAACGATAGTACTATTAATTGTTGATACAATATTTGAAAATAGTTTTCTTTTTTCTTTAGATACGAAGAAACGAAAACATCAATATTTTTATCTTAAACACTCGCAATAATCGAAACAATAATAGCTAAAAACTACGCCTAATCTTATAACCGTTAGCATGCTAAAAAAATTAAATAAAACGCACAATTAAAACTAAAATGTTAAAAATGTTAAAATGTTTATTTTTAGATATAAATTTTGCTTAAATGCGAGTGTATGTTTTTATTTATATTATTAAAACAAAAATGTATGCGGGTAAACACTGTCCTAATGTCTCTTATAGTCCATTAATTTGTTTAAACACTGACCTACAGCTGCCTACTGTCTTCTACGTTCGAAGACCAAAGAAACAGCTCAGCTCCGGGATAGAATGTTTTAAAAGCCTCAATAACACAGAGTTTATACATCTTGCGATTTTTTACCTACTTTTGCTCGATACTGATCGTTAATTAGCCTTTATCTCTACCATAATCTTTAAGCTTTGCTTACCCACTCGTCGCAGTTTTTTCTTTTCAATTTGAATCACTATGTTTAATCAAACAAATGTTAGAATTCAACTAACTTTGTTTCAAACCAAAGATTTTGTACATATAATGCTACACAACATCGCCGTTAGTTTCTAGTTCTACTAGATGACCGATACTATACAGAGAGGCTATTTTATCATGAATCAGTATTTTTCTCGGAGGATTTTAATTGAATTTTGATTTTATTTTTCTTTTGTAAAATTTTGAAACTGTTTAATAACTTGCTTTTTCTTAATTTGTTCACCTTTTACATAATTGTGGGTGGTTAGTGAATGCTGGGCGTGTTTAAAAATATGAGCTAGACTCAATGTACTCCTAATATGGATGGTTATAAATTTATAACAATAGTCAAAACATACAAAACCGGCAAATGAAACGGATGGATACTCGATTATAAAATCAAAATTAACGGTTGGAAGTAGTATACATTAGTTAAATTAATAATATCCTGTTAGTAGAATTATATTAATAGGATTTACTTTATTATATTATATAACTAATGGTAATAGTGTATATCATACTTTTAAATTGGGTTAGCGCCAAATAAAAAATAATTTTCCATGCTAAGAATACGACTTTTTGAAAAAAAAGTTTTTAGTCCGTTGTTTAACCCATTGAAATTTACATATTAATAATATGTATTATTCTGTACCTAACTATCCTCGAATCTGTCCGATGTTATGGCAAACGTTCAAAGTGTATAATACGTAATAAAAATATTTGTATATTGTATGTATTTAAAAAATGTATTCACTGCATTGGAAATGATAGAGATTATTACTAACAAAAAACGATTTATAGCAAAGTTCGGTTAAATGTATTTTAAAATTTTACAGTTTGCGAGTCAACAGTTGAAATTAAAATACTAACCATAGAAAAATTACAACATTACGTTCAATTGTTTATATTACCGCCATGGAATACTTATGATAAATTTCGTTATAAATTTTCAAGCCAAATATTTAAATTTTAAATTTTATCCTCATAACATCAAATAAAAACTAAAACCGCGAAAATTCTAATGACATTAAATAATTTAAAAATCGCCAGTGTTTTTAAAATGTCATCACTTTTAGAAAGTGTTTATTTGAATTTACGGTGAAAGTTTAAGGTTTTTAAGATAATTTTTAACTGAATAACCACAGCAAAAAAACTAAAACCGTTATTATTGCATATATTTTCTAATTTTTTTCCACCTCTCCAATCCCTTAACTAGACAACATTTTAATTCCAAAATCTCGGGAGCTCATTCAACTCTAATCAGAGTTGGACTATCTTTTAAAATCAGTCCGGACATTATTATATATTAGTATATTCTTCTTCTTTTTCTCTGGCTATTTACAGGCCTTTTAGGCCCATTGCCGCAACAACATATTGTCTCCAGTCTTCTCTATTTTGTGCCGTTTCTTCAGCATTCCTTACTCCCAACCTCTTTAGGTCTTCTTTTTTTCTATCTGACCATCTCTCTCTAGGACGTCCTCTGGGCCTCTTTGCGTTTGGTTTCCATGTAGTTATTTGTCCGATTAGTCCTTTTGATCTCCATACATGTCCAGCCCAGCCTATTCGTGCGCTTTNTTGTTTTTCTTTGGGCCAAATATCTTTCTCTCAAATACTTCTAACTTTTTTTGATCTGACTTTGTCGTCGCCCAAGTACTGCTTGCATATAGAGCTATTGGTCTGACTAGAACTTTATATAATGTTACTTTGGATTTCCTTGATAATAGTTTTGATTTGAACAATGATAATAGTCCAAAGTAACACCTGTTTGCTGCGATGAGCCGTTTTTTCACTTCTTCGTGGCTATTAGCATCTTCATTAATATCTGCACCTAAGTATTTAAAATTTCTTACCCTTTCAAATGTGTACTCATTTACTTTCAAGAAATCCGATCTGTGATATTGTCTAGATACTATCATGTATTTTGTCTTTGTCTCATTAATTTTTAGGCCAATTTTTTTCTCTTCCTTCAGCAATATATCTGTTGTGTTGCACCCACAACCCACCTACACGTTTTTTTGTGAATAACGTGATTCAAACATACCTTTTTTGAGCCGCTGTTGACTCACGGTTAGCAATGTTGGACGTTGGACAAAATGTTTATTATGATATTCTTTATTCTTATATTTTACCCACCAAACTATTTTTTTTCGCATTCTACAGTGAGATTTCCCTGTGTTTAACCCTGCATCTAAGGGTGAAAATATATCGAATATTTTGGTTTGGGAGCTAATTCAATTGGGCCGATTGAGCTGGGTACGATTTTGAGTTTTGACGCGTATAGGCATTTTTTGATTTTTACTACAAACAACAAATTGTTATTCCAATATGTGAAACTTCATAAAATAAAAAATGGGTTTCAATCGCAGAATTTCTGTTTTTTTTTGTTACGTAATGTACGATTAGCATATCATAATCGTTTACGATTTATAATATTCAAATATTATTTGAAAAAATGTTATTACGTAGTCAAAATTTAATCATATTTTGATGTTCATGATTACGAAAACAAGTCGTTAGGCCAAAATTATTATACCTACAGGTAGATATATACTTATATTTCATTATCATTTCAATCAAATCCAAACGAGTATTTTTAATCAGCTATATTATGTTTTCGTAAACCAAGCTATTCCAGCAGTGAACGATCGTCCGGGCTAATCGGAAGTTTTTTATATAGCATTTCTAATGGGTTACATAGAGGTCATCATATTATTTTAACTGTTCATGCACGTATAACTAATAAAATACAAAACTCAAATGCTCATATCACTATAAGCAATCACACACGATCCTATTGTTTCGTCGTTTCGACCGTTATAAGAGAACGTTAAAAATGCATTTGTTTTCTCCGTTTTACAGAACCGATTTTTTCTGTTAGTTTTAGTTTTATCAAAAACATAAAATATATGTGAAAAGAGGTAATATTCGGTAAGATGAAGAAGTTTGTCAGTTTTGTCGGAAAAATAAACGATTTCCAAGTGGGTGTCTAGTTTAAATTGTTAAATAAATCACTTGCTTACTAATACATCTTTAACTTGATAAGTTTTCTTTTTGATAAATATTACACGATTCATTTATAAATGTTAGATTATAAATAGACCAAGTAAAAAAAGTAGTAGTGAGGAAGCAATTTGATTCTCAATTTTTACTTGGGACCCAATTAAATGTCATTTTATTTTTCGGCGAAGCTGACAAACGTCTTTTTGTTACCGAACTTAGTTTCTTTTTGACATTTATGCTTTTAGATGGGATTTCACTACTTTTTAAAAATGTAAAATTAATTCTACCTAAACATAATAATATAATATATCTATGTCATACATGGCTGCATAGTATAATATTAGCAGTAGTGGTTTTGATCAAACTTCAACGGAGACGGGTAACAATGGCCTATTTATAGGGGACATGGAGGCATAGCTCCCAATCGCCTACCAAGTCCCCCAACATTTTTTCAAATCACCCTATAAAGCTCCCCCTTATATTTTTCGGGATATTCACCTATCGAAGGGGGGTTAACTTAAAATGTCAACTAATCTTCCCCAGTTGTATACTTCAAATTACAGCATCAAACATTGGCTCTACCAACCTAATTAAAACAAATGACATAACACATGTACAAATGTATTAAATACATAAAGCTACGTAGATAATTTAAACTAACAATAAAGTAATTTAAGATTGAGCGAAAACGAATATTATATATTTGTAATATTTAATTTAAAAAGTCATATTATTAAAGTGAAAATTCGATATTTCTTTTTTAACGAACATTTTTTTGTACATTCAAGCACTCAAATTCAATTAATTCATTGTATACCGAATGTGACTAGATTACTATGGTAATAAGAAGTAATTCTTCTTCCTTTCAATCCTTCTTTTAATTTCAGCCACATCGGCTTTATAATCAACTTTTATATTATTATATAACCATTATATTTGTATAATATTAAAAACCAAGAAGAGGGGGGGGGCGATCGCCCCTATCGCTCACCCTAAAATCCGCCACTGAATATTAGTATCGATCTTAAAATAGCGCCAAAGTTAAGGTACTCTAATTACAAAATTGGACAAATTAGTGATGATTATTTCTATCTAGTTTGAGTTAGAAAACTGTGAAAAAAATAAATAATATTTAAGTTTATCAAAAAGTTAGAAACCAGTTAGTTTATACATCAAAATAAACGAAAAAAAACCCCATAAGCACTGTACGTACGTGTCAATCATTAAACATTAATCAATACAACAGTATACCGATAATACGATAAACTTGTAAGAATGGTTTTTTTATTTAATAAAAATCACTATTGATGTGTTAATATTTACATGTGTTCGATAATCTCATTTTTAACAAAACTGTTTTCTTAAAAAAAAAAATTGTACACAGAAGAAATGTCCATTGACGGTCGAATTCATTCGAGGTAAATCGACTATCGGAGACGTAATAAAATTCACAAATAATGCACACACATATTAAAATCATGTGGAGATTATATTTTTAAAATCTAACAGCAACGGTTCAGATTTAATCAGGGTTGCTAATCGTCCCGATTTTAGTGGGATATTCACGATTTGTGTGTTTTTTTCCCGCGTCCAAATCGATGTTGTCGCGGGACACATTTTCCCCGGGATACTGGGAAAATAATAATTTGTATAATAATATCTTTTCCACATTAATTGTACAAACGATGCAACTGTTGGTAAAAGGTATCAATGAACGTTATCTGACGGATTGCTGTTAAACAGTGCGTGCTTAAATTATTATTATTACTTAACCTTTATTTTTCCGGTTGCATCCGAAAACCGCACACATATGGTTTTCATCCCAAAAAGATCGGTAAACAAAAATAAATTAACTGTTGAAAAAAAAAAAAATAAAAAAAAAAATGAAACGCAATTCTTATTTTTCGAATGTATTGGTAGGTCTTATTGCTTTATACTAATAAAAAAAAAAAAAATAACCCAGAATGTGACCTAAATGTGTTTATTAATATTGTTATAATTATAGTCAATCTCTGTTCGTTATAATCGTTAAATTGCCGTTTTTATCGGGCGAAAATAAATGAATTCCCCCGTGTACGGTTCGTTAGCTTACTGAGTTATTATAACAGTAATAATAATAATTAATATTAAATAATATTTACTAACGGTCGCCAATTATTGATAAAGCGTAGATAATAAGGCGGCCGTTAAAACTTTAATAATAATTGACCTGTTGTGCAATAAATCAATCCGAAAACGCTTCGATGGTAATAATCGGCGTTTATTTCAGACCTTTATCCCCGGGAGGTAGGGGAGGGGGCATCGTAAATTTCCAAGGGAGCGAGCCAAAGGCCGACGCTGGCACAGAATATAATATCAATATCAATTTAGACGGATCCATTTTAAGCAGAATTCGAAATGCGTTTTTTTTTTCGTTTTTTGCTGCCGACCGAATATTTACACACATTTATTATTATTTTTTTATATTTTTGCGAACGGGTCGTCTCCGTATTATTTTGTAATGATAATAATACGACTTTATTGCAACCATACTCGAAAAAAAAAAAATATATCCAAATATTATTTTACAAAACAATTAATAATATCGCGGCACTCTCGGCAAGGAAATTACCGAGAAATTCAAATGAAATTTTAGAATTGCCGAAACTACGTCAGGTTAATTTAGCGCAGGTTGAATCATTAGTCTTTTATGGTATTATATAGGCTGGGGTGGTGCTTTTGACAATGGTATGTCTCAGCTACAAACTTATGAAATTCAAATTATTAAAATATTACTCGAAATAAGGAACGGGATGTACTCAACCAAAAATGTATACGCAGAACTAAATGTGCTAAGAAAATTTTTTTTTAAAACGACTTTTATGTGTTTAAAAAGCCGTAATTTATTACAACCAATAACGCATGGAGTGTGTTCACAAGATACGCAAAGAATAATTGTTCCATTGAAAGACCAAATAAAACCACATCTGGTAGACGTTTTGAAATAATCGGTACCAAATTGTGTAACAAAATACCAATATCGTATATAATGAACCTTCTAATTTATTTATTTAAAAAAAAGCACTCTGGGATGACTGTACGCGAATCTCATAACGAATTAACATATAACAGTAATATTACTTTAATTCAATGTGATTGGTATTCAGTTTATCATATTCCTGTTTATTTTTTTAGAGTTTCTATTCGTTACCATGTTCGTGTTATTTTTATACGTAACTAGATATCAGAAGTCCTGGGCTCTCACACGGGTCTTCTCAGTGGGGCCCAGTACTCGCATGTGTGTGAAATTAAATAAAATTAAAAATAAATAAGCTATACGAAGTGTGGCTATTAAATATCGAGACTGCTCGCCTAGAGGGCGCCCTAGATGGGTAGTGAAAAAAACCAGTAATGCGTTGGGTATCTAGGTATCTTATCTATGCACGTACCAAAACACGTTTTCGTCACTATTATAGTATTTGTGCAGTAGTGATTTGAAACGAACGTGTTTTTTTCTCGTGCCGAAAACCATGTGTGACGAAAAACATGAGCAGCGGATAAACGTAAAATTTTCTCGTTAAACTAAAAAAACTCCAACTGAATGCTATAAGTTGTTAAAAGAGGCCTATCGTGAGGATTTACTATCTCAAGCGCGTGTTTTTGAGTGGCATAAATTATTTTCTAAAGGTCGAGAGTGCACCGGAATCCAATTTAGTCGTAATCCAAATTCAAAACCGTTTTCTTCGATATCAACGGCATCGTGATGACTGAATGAGTTCCAGAGGGTCAAACTGTGAACCAACATTACTATTTGACAGTTTTGGTAACATTGCGCGAATGAGTTCGTAAGAAACGGTCGATATTGTGGAAAAACAAGTCGNACTCCAGTACTCGAACACGCATCTTACTCACCCGACTTGGCACCCTGCGACTTTTACTTGTTTCCGAAGATAAAGTCTGCCTTAAAAGGAATCCGGTTTGAGTCGATGGAAGAGGTGAAACAAAAATCGACGGAACTCCTGAATGGTCTAACGAAAACAAACTTCTGGCACTGCCTCGAGCAATGGAAGAAACGAATGAAACGGTGTGTGGCGAGGGGAGGGGAGTATATTGAAGGGGAGCATTTTAATGTAGAATAACTTTTATATTAAAACACTCTCGTTATTTAATAGCCACACCTCGTATTATAATATGTTTGTGCTGGGGAACGCGGTTCTTTTCGATAATTAACGTGCCTGTATATTAACAATACGTATATGAATATCGATTATTAATTAATCAACAAAACGGGAAAAAAGATTTCACGATTAATTGTACACGCAGATAACAAATGATGATCATAAATTGTGCGGATATGAAATGAAAATTACAGATAATATTATGTAAAATCGGGAGGTTTTAAAAAAAAAAACCCGACTAACGCGCGTCTCTTGTAATTGACTCAATCGATATCGTAATTGTAGCGTGATAATCTCGGGGAGAGAGAAAGAGTGAGAGCGAGCGTGAGAGTGAGTGAGAGAGTGAGAGAGAGAGAAAATTATTCTTCTCGAGTCCGGTAGGCCGGGCTCCGCGGCGACGGCGGCGGTTTCCCCCGAACCGGTTCCGCGCCGTTTCCCGGTCGAGACGCGGACGCCAACAGTGCGACTTTGACCGTTCGGCCGTAGCAGTCGTCGTCGTCGCACCGCGGTAACAAAAACTGCGGGTCCCGGCCCCAATATAATATTATTTATTTTTTTTTGTTCCGTTACGAGCGCGAAAAGTCGTTTCGCCGACCGCATCATCGGTTTTTATTCCGTGGGCACCGGTACCCGCGAGATACTCCGCGCGCGATCCGCCCGGACGCGACGATAACGAACATTATTATCATGCCGCCGGCAACAACGTGCGAGATCCTGGTCGGCGCGCTGGCCGTCGTCGTCGCGGCCGTCTGCTGTCCGACGTACGCCGTGCCCGTCAACTCGTGCGGACTCCAGACGGACACGGCCGCCAAGCGACACGACCTCACCGCGCTCGACCGTCTGTCCGGCCAACTGTGAGTACCTGCCATTATACGCGCGCGAACGACCGACGCACGTTCGGGACCCTCCCTCCCTCCCTCCCTCCCACCCCCGGCGTTTGCGTTTTCCGACCCGATGTCCTGACGGCGAATAAATAACGGGGGAGGGGCGGAGAGGGCTGGTGGAGTTCGGCCCCTCCTAGAATCCCTTCGGCCCCTGCCTCGAAAATTAACGATTTGACCGAACAATACGCACAAAGGCGGACGTATTTCGCACGCGCGTGAGTGCAACCACTGTTGTAGGTGGGTAAAGTTGGGAACGTAGAATACAGACGAGAATTTAATGCACGTCTGTAAGCAACGATAAACCATTGCAATATACATGTCATATTATGGTAAAATTATAACAATGTGTGCGTTACTATGACAAAAATGATTGTTGAAAAAATATTATTAAAATAATAAAAACTTAATAATAACAAATAATAAATAATAACGGTTGTCCATGATAACCAAATTGTTCAGATGTTTAATCTTTCAATCTTTTTCAACCTAGAGAACCAGGTTTTCCTCATTATCTCGAATATTAACTCAGATTTTAAAATATACACCATAAAAAAAAAAAAACTAACTTTATTAATTTTTATTTTCTTTAAACTCTCTCCCCTCGCGAAATTATTTCCCTCGTCCGCCCCTAATCACTCTAAATATATACGCTTGTATATATGTTCGTTCATACCTCACCGATCGAGTACTATCTATTGCAGTCTTGAGTTCCTCTTCAAATGTCTTCTCTCCTTTTTCTAGCGTCCCTCAAGGCGCTGTTCACTCTCCTTATTTTTTAAAAGAGAGAAAAAAAATCGGTTAGTCTGCTAAAAAAAGCCTCGGTTTTCGTCTCAGTGTGTTCTTTATGCATGCATTTAACTTAATGTACTTTGATGTTTCGATATATTTTCTCAAACCTTCAAGGGGGCAAAATAGGATTTTTAGATATACTTGGTACGAATATCTAATTGCTTATTAATTTATTTTTGTTTATTCAGGGGTTACCTTGGTGTTACGGATAATAATTTGGTCGCCACGGAAAATAAAACGATTTTAATTGTTATTATTACTATTATTTACACTATTAACATTTCACAATAGAACGCATTTGGACCGCCGAATGGCCACCAACTTTCCACCTATTTGTTTTCACTCAATTCTGACACGGCCAAAACCAAAAATGAATATGGGTAAAATAATAATGATTAACGCGGGCAACGCCGGGCGCGGGACTGTTAGTATCAAATATACGTATACGAATCACCATTGAAATTATAATAATATCAAAAATTAGTTATCTTCTCGTCATTATAGATTAATTATATTTTGAAAAACTCAAATAGTTGATACCATTTCGATAAATAGTAAAGTTATTTGCTAAAAAACGTGTAAACATCCGCTGCACATTGACGTATAATTACGTACAATTGACATTGTGTACGTGCGTCATAATTATTTTGGAAAAATCACCAACAACGTTCTACCGTTTTAAACATATTTGTAAAACATTTATATGAGATACGGTTACTTCCGGACAATAATCGAATTCTGTATAGGCAACCGAATATAGACGAATTTACCGACCGATGTATTTAATTTATTCGACCGCGTACGTACGTGACTATCGGTGATCTGATAACCTATATTATTATAATGTTACCTACATAAGTTATTAATTTTAACATTATCTTTTAAACAATTAAATTGAATACCTACTTATGTTTATGATAAAATAAAAATACTGATTTCGTAGCAACTCCTCTTTGTCCAAGTGCGGATCCCAGTGGGGGGGGGGGCGGTCTCGTAAATCGCCTCTGAAACTGTATTTACCTCTCTGTGAGTAGTTTATAAAGCTTTATCGTAATTCCTGTTCTTCGCTCTCCCTTCCATGAGATTATGTTTTCTGGAGCCAACACTTTTTATTCGCCAGTTATCACGTTTACCTATTAGACAAAATATCTAACGGACGTACGTTACCCGGGCGTACAGAATGTTTACAATAAAAATATGATTTTGTCGTTTAAGTAGATTTGTCGTGATAATTGTATCATTGTGATCTTTATCGCTGGATGCAAGATGAGGCATTCACCCCAACCTCCCCTTAAATAAATACTAGTTATTACATTTGCATGATGAAATAACATGGCATACTTTTTTAGAATAGTTTTTATTTTCCACCCTCCGAAATTTCAACTATTTGGGAACCCATGGATGAATTCGTGTGCCATATTGTATACTTAGTCGAGTTGGTATCTGGTAATAATTTTATTCGGATGTAATATGGTCAGGTAAATTATAATTTCAAGGTTGCCTGCAACAATTTCGAAAAAACCAAAACTTGTTTGAATTATTGTACGTAGGTACAGTATTGTCTTTGCTTTTAAACTTAACGTATATCTTTGTGAATCTCATTTTACAGTAGGTATGGATGGTTAAAACGTCTCTCGGACAGATTTGCAATTATTATTATAAACTGTATTTATTATTTATTTACCCGTGGAAGTGGAACATTAATTGGCATTGAGCTGGTCAACCTATACATTTTAAACTTATAGTCTTAGAATATCCATTTCCTATACACATTACACACGTAAATACGTAATATTTAGACGTTACAAGAGACCTGTTAAAACAATATTAAAGTAGGTAAGTATCACGAAAATTAATATCAATAAGTATAACATTTTAAAACTGGTGGTTTTATTATTATTGTGTTAGAATATTATATTATATAGATTACAGGTATTAATATTGTGTTTTTATACGATATTTTCGGATTTGTTTTATATAATCGCGTGGTTATCTAACACCGCAAATATGCAATGAATAACGAATATCACCTATATTAAACCTTTATATTGACAATACGTAGTTGTACTAATACCGGTCAAACGAGTTTGGCAAAATATGGTACTGTAATTGTATATCATTTTTACATACCTAATATTATCCACTGACAAGTCACGATAGAACGCACAAGTACCGATATTATAATTTACGTAGAGTGTGTGCGAAACAGAGATCCGAAGTGTGACACTTATTTTTCAACTTGGGTATCGATAAATTATTTATTTTATTTTATTATAATTCATATAGTTTATTGCATGACTTATAAACGCATATACGGTACACTATAACTCTGAATTTTAGATTAGGTATCTAATACTATCTAGGTAACAAAAGAAAAAAAGAAAAAAAAATCGTATTTTTAAACATGATATTTGTCTGAGAACGAATAAGCGTCATAATATAACTATCGAATATTGATTCAATAGGTATTATTATTTCAATAAGAAGTTCGTTTAAAACGAATAAATGTGTACAAATAAAATGGGCGACGAAGGAAATCAGACTCCCAAATTCCTCCCATACTCTTTGATTATCTCCAAAATGAGAAAATAGCTGTTTCCATAGTCAATTTTGACATATCTAATATATTTCTATATTGTTGACAAAGCATCGCTATCAACTGAACTTCACTCAGAATCGTTTTTCCGTAAGAATGGTTTATCGTTGCTTGCAGGTTTACATTAAATTACCTGTAACAGTGGCTGCACCCGTCCCAATTATCCTAGGACGTCTTTTTTGTACGTCAAGTTTTCCGCGTACTCTGTTCCATCATATAATCGCACAGAAATTAAGAAATCAAAAGATGTTTTAGATAAATAGGTACTGAAAGGAACAGAAATATTTTACTTATTGGTATTTTTGGAAATTTGTATTAGTCTCAGTATCCCGGCAACTATTTGAACTACTGAACCGCTCTTCAGAACGTTTTAAAGGGTTAACACCTGGATACGATTTATCATGACTGGGAAGTTCGATGCTTTATGCATGATGAATAAACATAGAAATAGGGGTTTTTTTTTTATAGTGAAATTATTGATCGTTTCGCTAGAAAAACAAGACAATTACAATGTATTTTTGAGAATAAACAATCTATACGTAAACTATGTAATACAAAATATTGTATTTATTGGTTTTACAATGATATTTTTATGTTTTTTTTTTTTTTTTAATCTTTGAATTACTTTTCTACTAGAAATTTTTCTTCGATTTTAAAATGTAGTACTTTTTCTCAAAGGTAATTGAACTGGTGAAATACATTAAGTAGTAGTTCATTTTTTGATTTTCCCAGGGGTTTTCATAATAAATAGAAAAACGAGAAAATGTACGGAATGTATTATTTTTAAGTCGTTAAATAACTGCCTTTCAAATAACCGAACTCCACTCAGAATTGTTTTTCGATAGCAAGAATTAATCTTTGCGTACAGATGTACATTAAATTTCCACTCTACCTTCCTAGCTTCTTAACTAAAACAATGCCCCGCCCCTCCTCCCATCCCTCATAGTACGAAGTATGTCTCTTTGTTTTTTATAAATATATTACTTACATTATGAAATATTTTATATTATGTATATTATATTATACTATGTTTTATATTACTTGCTCCTCTCCTAGACAAGTGTTTACGGGCACCTATGTATGTATCGTATGTTAATGGTTATTGGCGAATGTCCAAATTTTAAAGAGGAATTTTAAACATTCGAAAACAAGCTTGGTGAATGTTCACTGTCCACTATCTTCGGACATTTACTAAAACATATATATTATTCAAATATTTTAAATTTAAATAATATTATTATAACTGCGATTTGAGTTAAAAGCCAATCAAAAATGTCAAATTATAAATATAATAATATGCTGAGAGCTGAAAAAAAAACACATACACTTGGCGCTATACATATATTTTGAATTCTGGTTTAGGTCGGAGAATAAGTGGGATTATAAGGTAGACATTTGGCATATAGCTAGCTGATACAGGTTTATTTTAGTTTGTGTTATTTTTTTATCTGTGAACAACTTTTCTACTCGCAATTTTACATAGATTTTAAAATGAAGCAGTTTTTCTAACAGGAAATTGAACTGGGTAGGATATTTAAAGGAATTCATTTTTTGATTTTCCCAGGGGTTTACATAATAAATGGGAAAATCGGGAAAAAACGGGAAAATTTACGAAATCTGTTTTAAATTTACTAAATTCGTAAATAGTACGGCCTATCATTTTTTTTTAGCAATGATTTATCGTTACGTACAGATATACATTAAATTTCCCCTCTACTTCCCCAACTTTTCACCTATAACAGTGGCTCACCGATAGTACGAAGTATGTCCGTTTGTTTTTTTAAATATGACGTTATAATTAATAAAATAATTATAATTTTTACTTAATTAATTATTTTTATTTGAACTACCAATAATCTTGTATTTTATTTAGTATTATTATTATTCTTGCTTTTGTCTATTGCTTATACTTATTGCATTTAATAGGCACCGCCTGTTAACTGTTAATAAATAATATATTCACCAGGGAAAATTGATTTTCAGCCTAACATTTATTAATATAAAATTATAAATATTATGATAGAATATTATAGACAATGACGTATGTGTTTCTATTCCTGTCCGCTAACAACTTTCCTACCGGAAATCTTATTCGGATCATCAACTTCAGAAATGGTTACAAAAATGTTATCCACCAGTCGGCGTGTTAACATAATAACCCCCCTCCCATAATTTTTCTTAAATATGTATAATGATATACAGGTGATTTCTTAAGTCTGCTCATTGCTTAGTGCAGTGACAGACGATATTTTCGAGTACTTTCAATTTTTCACAGCACTTAAAGTTTGCAAAATGAGAACCTATAAATGTTTTATTGATTTTTCTGAAAATGTTGATGTATTTTAATCGAAATTTGAACGAAAATATCTTAGTTATTCTGTTTTAAATACTAAATGGTAATAACTGCACAATTTAAAACAAGAAATTATCTATACACATGAAACAGTTGGTGTCCGATTCCCATGAAAGGCTATTCTTTAGCCAAGCCATGCCCTTAGGGAAGGAGACCATTTTTTTTTTGCTCGTCGTTAAATTTGTTTGGCACCGAGTGTCGGTTTTGCAAAGTATGTATCACTAATCCTTCGTATATTTAAAGCATAATAACTCAGAAAATGTTTGTTTAAATTTCGATTGCAACACGTTAAAATTTTCAGAAAGATCATATGATTGACAATTTGCATCAAAACGTGTAGGACATTGGGTCTCATTTGAAAAACCAAAGTTGTTATCGCCACAGGATATTTCTCAAATGTACTCTTTACAGATTAATGTAGTATTTTCAAACCCAAGATAAAATAAAATACTTATTTGTAACATAGTACATTAATTGTTGAATTTATTAAAACTGCACAAAAAAATTATTGAACTAAATATTCGTAGGTACTCATTTAAATATTTCAAAATAGTTGTATTTTTAGAAATTTGCTTGTAAAACTAAATTATGTAAAATAACGTTTAATTATATACACTTTTTATTACTAAACGCGTGTTACAGTAATAATAGGTTTCTCATTTATCCTTGATTATAAAAAATAATAAATATTATAATATTTTCTGTGTATCTATCACCTTACACACCTTTATTGTCCTGTATTAAAAATTCTCTAATAACTAAACTATTCAAATTTCATTATTTTATTATTCTATAATTGTATAATAATATTCGATTATACGTATTATAAGTATAACTGTATATTTAATATATTTATTAATAATAGCGATTTCCAGTGTAATTGAAACTAGTATATATTATATATTCTAAATTAAGTCGCTATAATATATTATAAAGAGCTTTTAACAAATCATTGATCTCGGGAAGAAGTCTTAGAAGGCTCAAGTAAATTTCGTATAGATTCCAATACAATCAACAATTACATTTTTGAAGTACATACGCTAATACACTAATACCATTTATTTTGAAATACATAGAATTGGACAATTTAGACCAAAAAAACAAGAGAAAAAATTATAAAAAAAAAAAATAAAAAAATAGAAAAATAGACTTCTGACCTTTAATCTCTAGTAATTACTTTATTATGATTTATAATGCTACGATAAGTAAGATAAATTATACCCCTAAACAATTATTATTATATTATTCTGTTTTGTTATGATAATATATAGTTTTATATTAATGCTTCTTAGGGGACCGTAAAGGGGAATGTGAGAGATATTAAAATGGTATAGGGACGCTACTTCTTCAAAACTAGTTAGAAAACCTCTACTAAATTTTTCCCACGTCGAACACTGAGACTATAATATACCTATACTAAATAAATTTGGTCAGCATTTAGTGTGAACATTTCGGGGTCAAACCCATACATTTTCCGCGTGGTGTCTACGGGAATAAATTATCTTACTTACGGTCGGGTGTCAATCGAAAATTATCTGCGCTTGCTATCGGCATATCAAACTCGGTACAACGCGTTGCTGTTTGAAGTCGCCGTCGCGATTTTCCCGTTTTTCCTACTATTTTCCATTTATTGGGAAAATCAAAAAAATGGCCTAAAATTTTTTTTAGGCTGGTGGTGGTTTGTATTATCTATTTTGGAAAGTTTACCCGACTATTTTAACACTGCTTCGACGCTACTACTTCCAACGTCGCGCGCCGTACCGTGCCGTCACACGAGTGCATATGTGTTTATAAACCTTAAAAAACCGTACAACTTTCATATATGATAAAATGGCTGTAACATACATTTTGAATGAACCGGAATACATTATCTTTAAATATAACTACGTTAATTCGTATTATTAAACGTCAATTTTAATCGTTAACAAATTGTATTATTATCTATTCCGTAACGAATTGGGAACGGCAGGGCCGGATTATGGGTTGTATGGGCCCGGCGCTAAAGCCCAACAAGCAAAAAAGAAAAGGCCATCAGAAAAACATTCGTATAATGTTCTAATATTCGGGCAATAGACTGCTAAGCAAAAAAGAAAAGGACATTAACAAAAACACACATTATGTGGACCCCTTCGACTTGCGGCTCGGGGTTGTAGACCTCTGAGTCCCCCGCCCTTTTGATTCAGCCTTGGAGAACGGACCCGGAAATAAATCGAGCAGTTTGGCAATTCAAATTCATCTTATACAAAATTCAATATTATCCCCTAAGCAAGCCCGGATTGAAAAATTATTAGATATCCCGAGGCCGAACTTTTCAACGAGGCTCTCGTTGAAAAACTTATAATTATTATAGGTTTTTTTGCAAACGTTTTCTAATCAATAGGTTTTAACAAAAGAAAAATAATTAACAGTAGGCATAGACGTATATATTATATAGAGCACAGCCACAAAGTGTTATTTAAATAGATAAGTATATTATTATTTTATTGCATAGTCACTATAGTAGTTTGTAGATGCTAAATAATGATACGAATAAGTCATCAACAGGTAACGATTCTTTCTTGGTGCATGCCTATGTAACTGCCTACCTGTGTGCCAAATTTCAGCTCGATCTGTCTATTGGTTTAGACTAAGGTGCTAGGCGTTAATAAATCAGTCAGTCATGACATGTTTTTTTTAAAAATATAGATATCTGATAACTTTATCAATGGGTTCATGTTATGTTGATATTTACTGAACAATATTTTATAGGTTTATAGATTATTAAAAAATATAAATAAGTATCATAGATAACCTCTTCACATCTTTATGAAATCCATTTATATCAATACCTATCTTAATCATAAACGACGATTTCTTCCATAGAACGTACATAATAATATACGAGCAATATATAATATGCTATTGATTTAAATACAAATATTAAATGCATTCAAATTATAGCACGCATAATATCGGTTGTTGAAATTTGGAAATTTTAAAAGGTCTACGATGTCCGAACCCCCATTAATGCCGGAGAACACGCATAATAATAATTTGATTGTTCAATACTATTTGGACAATATTTTTGATGATAATTTTCGAAAATTTAACGATTAAAAAGTTACCATTATTGCCGGGCACAAAAATTGTGTCCATAATTATTACGGCAAAACCGCATAGATGAGCTCGTGCACTTATAAATATAACCGGTATCGCGTTTCGATTTTGAAATAGGTTACTGTATATTATGATATTGTGTAAGGACGTGACTGCATAATGTTGTTGGTCGCAGCAGTTAAAATGATTCTGATCCGATGTCCTTGAAAAGTACATATTATTCTTGGCAATATTGCTCGTAGGCATCAGTTATACTTATAGAATTAATATACAAACGTTTTGTCCCATTTGATACTGGATCAGTTTACTATAAATAACTGCGTCCTTCGTAATTATAAGATATGCAAAATAAATTATATATATTTAACATAATTTATTTTTTAGGTGAATTAAAATTAAATAATGTGCGCATTAATCGTTTTATTTTAATTTATGTTTAACTGAAAATATTATTATATACTTATAAGAAAAGGAAAAATTCGTTCCACAGATACATATTATTGTATACTTATTTATTGCACAGATAAAAATAAATTTAAAAATCAATTATTAATTTTTTTTTTTTAATTCATTTGATTATTTTAGAAGAAATTTTAACATATCATTTAAAATTATCGATGGTAATATTTTGTGATTTATTATAGATATTTAGTTAAAAATATTAAAATTTATTAGTTCTACAATATCTATTGATACTAAGAGGACTTTATCGCTTATCACCACGGGACTATTTAACAAATGTCTATTAACTTCATGTCTATTGAGTATTCTATTTTTGTTAAAAAAAAAAAAAGGAAGGATATTCAAGGAGGGACAAAGTTATTTAATTTATACATATAACCAACGATAAATCATTGCTAACGAAAAACGATTCGAAGTTCGGTTATACATGTTTTGAAAGACCTTAATACTTACGATTTTCGTCGAAATTTTATTTTAAAACTCTTATAAAAAAAAAACTACATTACACCTAATTTTTTTTTACCACTAAGCATAACTGATAATGAATATCCCGTTCAGTTTTCAAGCATTTCTGTTAATCTAGCAATTTTGTCCACAGAGTACTTATGAAATAAAAATTACCTACATAGAAACTCCCAAAATTTTACCACATGTAGAAAAAGCAAGTTTAAGTTTTCTATCAAAATTGTTATGTCTCTAAAAATATGTTTAACTGAATTCAATTAAAAAAAATATAAAAAAAAAAATTTTAAACAATTGAAGAATTATCGCCATAATATAGGCAATAGAAATATAGACGCAAAATAAAATTTAACGCCCTACTGATACAGTCTACAGATTATTTGATTAATATAATAGTATGATAGAAATTTAACTGTATTACAATATTATATTTCAGATTTTAATAAAACTAATTAGTATATTAATCTTTAAATTGTATTTTCCTACTTAGACTTACAACTGAATCGAACGGCAATATTTATTACGTTTCGATTTGTCACCATGTGCCACAAATGTCCTACTACGATCCCCGAAAACTGGTAGGAGCTGTTAAGTATTCCAAAGAAGGGTATTCAATTAATCTTGGACGCATCGACCAATCCAATGTCTTCATAAACGGTTTGATTTTATTTTTTGGTTTACATATTTGTATACATAAATTATATTTTATTCTGTTCACTTTTAGATAATAATATTGTTCTCACATACATCGGCGATGACGGGAATAGAGATCCAAGAGACCCATGTAAAGGTTTAAGGTGGAGTACATATCTGACATTTATATGCGATACATTTTTAAAAATTGTAAGTTTTAAACATATATATATATATATAATATTATATTTATATACTTATATTATTATTTATCATATTTTAATATGAACATTTAGGTAGAAAATATCAAATTATTATGTCCTGGATAGTTTGATATATCAAATAAATATTTAAATATAGGTACTATCGTTAATTATTGAATAAAATACCTACTTCGACTTGACAAATGTAGGCCATACCTATTAGTATAGCAATATGCACAATTCAGAATTAATCCGATTTTATTTAAATCTAAATTTTCGTTGAAATGTTTAAAACGTAAATTATGGAATGACTGAATATTCAATTAGATTCTTAAAATATATTATTAAATTTCACGTTTAGAGCAGGCTAACAAATAATAAAAACGTTTCAATTAACTTTCTTGCGATATAGAACAATATATTTTAAAATATACTATCGAATTTCTGATTTTTAATTTTTACATGTATTTTTATAAATTTAAAATATTGTATGTATTTTTAGGATATTTTAACATTAGTTGATGAAGATCCTAATCAACCAGAAACATGTACAATAAAGTTTGAAATAAGAACATCGAAAACATGTAACCGGCAACCAATTTCAGTTCAAAATATTAATCACATCAACCAGGTAACCGTAATTCAATATTAATAACCAATACATCATATTAAATAGTGTAAATATAATGTATCAGAGGAATGAAACTTTCAGAAAGAAAGTAAAATTCAGTTTATCTTAATTATTTGGTAGTTGTTTTAAAATTAACAGCACCCACTTAAAATATATTTGTTAGTTTAAATTTAAATCATTTCTAAGTTGTGTTATTTTATTAAAACAAGCAATAATTACAAATTCTATTACGAATACATTTAATTAGATCAAATTCAACATTTTATTTAAAACTTATTAAAAAAAAAAACACACACACACACAAACATCTCAAAACATTGCGTCCAATCAGAATCTATTGAAATAAAAATTTATTTACAATAATTAAAAAATTATTTCAGATTGGCGGTGAAACAGAGAAAACAAAATTAAATCAAATTCCTTTTGGAAATGAGTTAACTAAAAATTATAAACAATTCAGCAATAACAACAATACTTCCAACATTCAAATTGAAGAAAATAATTTAAATCAAAATAATTTACAAGCGATTAGTTCTTTAAATAAACCATTAATTTTATTGAATTCTAAGCCTGTTTATGAAAATAAATTCACAAGAAATGAAAGTATTCAAAAAAGTTCAAATCAAAACGGTCTCGTACATATGTTGCCTAATGATAGAAAGAATCATTTAAATTTTGAACTGGATAATAAATATCTGAATCAAAATTCTGAAGATACATTATTTAATAATGCAAATGGCCATTTTAGCAAAGGAAATACATTTACGAATTTTGAAAATAAAAACACTAATTTAAATCAATATGATTCAAAAAGTAATTCTTTCAATAATAAACACAATACTATTGGACAAAACCAAACGGTTTTAAATTATTATAAAAATAAGGAAAACAATTTAAATAAAACAAACTCACCAAATGAGAATCCAGAAGATAAACCATCCAGTGACCAAATTGAAAGTTCTGATAAGAATAAAAATAATGAAAGTATAAACCCAAATTCAAACCAAAAAAATTCCGAGAAAGCCATATCTAATAATGAAAATAATAATTCACAAAATAAAAATTCAGAAGGTAAACCATCCAGTGACCAAATTGAAAATTCTGATAAAAATACAAACAATGAAAATTTAAACCCAAATTCAAACCAAACAATTTCCGAGAAAGCCATGTCTAATAATGAAAAAAATAATTCACAAAATAAAAATTCAGAAGGTAAACCATCTAGTGACCAAATTGAAAATTCTGATAAAAATACAAATAATGAAAGTATAAACCCAAATTCAAATCAAACAATTTCCGAGAAAGCCATATCTAATAATGAAAAAAATAATTCACAATATAAAAATTCAGAAAGTAAACCATCCAGTAACCAAATTGAAAATTCTGATAAAAATAATGAAAATATAAACCCAAATTCAAACCAAACAATTTCCGAGAAAGTCATATCCAATAATGAAAAAAATAACTTAAATAATACAAATTCACCAAATGAGAATACAGAAGGTATACCATTTAGTGATAGTACCGAAAATCTGAACAATAGTAGTATTAAAACTAATTCAAACATAAACCAAAATTCAAATCACACCGTATCAGAAGGAATTATATCTAATAATAAAACAAATAGTGGCAATAATAATAAATTGCCAGATGAAGAAAATAAAGAAAATAACTCAAACCAAACGAATGCACAAAACATCAATTCGGAAGTTACAACAACTGAAAATTATAATGAAAATTCAAGTAAAAAGAATGTAACAGACATTGTTTACAATAAATCAAACAATTCATTACAAAACAATACACAAAATGATGATTCTAAAAATGCGAGTAAATCAGATAGTGAGGATACCAGCACACTTTCTAATCTGAGTACAAACGATACAAACAAAATTGACAGCTCTAATGAAAAAAACTATAACTCTAGTAGTGATAGTACTATTTTTATTGTTACAACCGAATCTTCAAAAAATTATGATTCAAGTACAACATCTGATGATCAAACAAATTTAACTACTGAAAAAATTGTCAATGGATCAATAAGTAACAGCAATACATCAGATTTGAATAATACATATTTAAATAAAATTAATACCCAATCTGACCAGAATACAAAAAGTCCTATTAAAACTACAATTTTATCGAACAATAATAATAACGATAATTTAACAGCAACAGATAGTGCTAGCCAATCAGAAGACAACTCTAATTCGGGAACAATATTTTCAAAACTTTTTCCCAACGGTATACAATTATCTGCAGCTACAATATTTGGAGGATTGTCAGTAGTATACATAAACAAAACACTGCTTTATTATTAATATTTCTCATATATTATTTCAGAGGTTCTTTGTCAGCTATTTCTGTATTAGTTGGAGCAGCCATAAACCGCTATTATTACAAACGAACTGGGACAGATCAAATACCTTTTAAAGGAACTTTTCAATCTATTTACATGTATATTAAAGTATGTTTTAAAAATATTACATAACAGCATATTATTTTATTTTAATAAATATCTCCTTTTTTTTCAGGTATTTTTATCAAAAATATGTTGCTGTTGCAGTGGCAATTTAGGAACACTTGATTTTACAGACGAAAAAACGCCACTTTTACAGCCTAAAATGTTTTCAGCTCCAATAGTTCCAGATGAAACTTTAAAACAAAAGTCCAAAATTAGTAGCGATGATAGTAAGTCAAGAAAAAGTGAAGATTTTGATAGTGATAATAGCAATGGCGAAAAAAAAACAAAAACATATGGCAGTATGGAATATAAAAGTGATTCTTATCCAGATAATCAAGCAACATTATACAATGATAAAGAAAAACTGTTTAAAACTGAGCATAATTTACAAGGCAAATCATTAAAAAAAATTATTGGTGAAAAAACTAGTGCACTATTCAATGTAAAATTAATTGAAAATATTTTTGAAAAAGTCGAGAAGAAATTTGAAAAAACTGATAAGGAAAATACCAAAGAAAATGTAGATATCCCACCTACGGGATTGATATCCCAATTATTAAAAAAAGGAAAATCTATAATCACAAATGAAAATGATATTGCTCATAATGAAGTAATTAAAGCAGAAACTAATGATACATCTAAATCTCATATTATACAAATTGATAAAAGTGAAAAACAAAGTTCAGAGGTTGAACAAAATAAAGATATTATAATAAAAGATAATGTTGATGTGAAATCAATTACTAATTTTGATAGTGCAAAACCACTTGATAATACTGAGACGACTTATTCACACGAGGATAACTTAAAAGAATTGATTGGAAATACACTTGAAACATCGGAAACAGAATTAAGTAATCAAAATAAAATTAAAAAATCACCTAATGATGTTACAAAAGACGAAATTGCAATAGATACAACAATAAATAAATCTCAACAAAATGATGTCACATCTGTTCCAGAAATTAAAACTATGGATAAGGATATTAGTTCAGAATTGTCTGATTTGAATGATTTGATTGCTGATTTACAAGCATTTTCTGATAAAATTGAAAATAATTCACCTAAAAGTACGGACAGTACAGTATCGGAAATTGGTATTATTAAACAAAATAATGAAAACGACATACTAAATAAATCTGAAAATGGCAATATGGCTTCCTCATCAGAAATTGCAAATAAAACCAAAGTGGCTAAGTTACAATTTTCAGCAGCAGATAATCAAGAACAGCAGATAAAAAATAAAAATGTACAAGTTGAGTTCACAAATGAATCTAACGTATCAGAAAAAAAGATAATAGACGATGATGACGATTCTACAGAAATTATCGAAGAAGTTATTTATATTGACGGAGCTGAAGGTGAAGAAAATGAAGAAGAGATTATTGAAGAAACAATAGAAACTACTGTGGTTGAGACACCAGATGCAAATTCTGAAACATTACCATTTTCGGATTCACACAAATCGCCAACTACCACTACTGTTCGGAAAACAACTACTCGTAAAATATCGTCAACTTCCGCTCCAGATGAAATAACAACTGTAGAAGAAACTATAGTAAGTGGTTATACACCAGAACAAGAGAAAAATAAATTCGGGTTTCAAATCGGAATTGGAAAATCAGGTGTCAATATGAGTGTTGGTGACAAAAGTATAGGTATCAATACTTCTGATGTGAATTTTGGAAAACATGAAGATCAAGGAGATATGAATAAGACCCAAGATCTATCACTTAAATTAAACAAACCGGGATCGAAGTACAATAAGAAAAAGCAAAAAACGTCAACAAATATAGAAGGAGAAGAACCTAATGTAGATGTATTTGACGAACGAGGTATAATCTCTTCAGAGAAATCAAAGAAATCTAAGACATTGCCCAATTTAAAAATATTCAAGAGGTCTATATCACAACCATCACACCCAGATATTGAAGAGGTTAAAGAGGAATCTCTTTTGGATGTTGCCTCTAAAAAAAAGGGCCGAAGTACATCTAGCTTGTTTAAATTAGGAAAATCCAAATCCAAATCTCCAGAAAAAACCGATGTTAAAACTAACGTTAATGCGAGTTTATCAGGCCAAGAACAACGTACGTCATCTGTATCTACAATCGATAATCGTGTATTGGAAACCGGCGGAGATGAAGTTGTAGCCGAACGTAAAATATCTATCAAAACTGAGGGTGGAAAAAAGAGTGCTCCTAAAAAGGAGAAACGATAAAAATATTTCTTCGTTCCAAAAATGTAAGACATTCGAAGAGTATTACAAATAATTTCCAGTAAAGATTTTGAACAAAAATTAAAACTGATAAGAAACTATTAACCTGAAATAAGATGGTAATGATATACTACTAATGGCAACCAAAATATTTTTTTTTTTTTTTTTTTTATTTGTTGGTCACTTATTATATTTTTGTTTAGTGTAAATTTTATCATTATTACCTATTTGATGTACAAAACATTCTTATCGTACCATTATACAACAATTGGTGTTTAATAAATTTAATTAAAGTGTAAAGTATAAATTTAAACGTTACCTAATACTAAAAATTTACCTTTGTTAGTTAAACAAAGCACATAATTATTTAGGTATATAACCGGTGACTATAGCTATGTACAAAACATAATTAACTTTGACGAGGGAAAAAAAATTTACAATGTAAATTATAATAATTTCCCGTATTGGTATTTATTGATTATATTTAACGATTATATTACCTACATATTATTTATATTATTGTCTGGCGTCTGCTCTCTGCCAGTAACATAACATGGATTATTTAGAGAGAGACGAAAGTATCAGCGTTCAGCGTTCACAGTGCAGTTCTAAAAATCATAAACTGGTAAGATAATATAATTATTTACACTTACTGGACTTGACATATGCGTGACTATTGATGTAATATCATAATATATAGAAGTGAACAAAATGATTGGGAGAAAAGATTACTTTTTTAAAGGACAAATTCCTTTTTATAAGAAAGGCACGAGGAATATAACGAAATAATTTTATGTAGGAAAAAACTAAGTATTTCGTTCCTTTGATTTAATTTCTTTTACCCAAAAATAAAACAATTTATAAATAAAAATAGTTCTTATAATGGAAACATTTCTATTTTGTATAATAAAACGTGATGTTCGTATCAAATATATATTAGAAACGTAATAATAATGAAAATAATATAGAATATAAGACTGATAACTGGTTACTTGTATAATGATACTGATAAGTATCTTAGAAGTTAACAGTTCAATGATCTCGCCATTTTTTGATTTTCCCAAGAGTTTTATCAGCAATTGTGAAAACCGGAAAAACGGGAAAATCGGTACAATATTAAAGTATTAAACAAATATTATTGAAGAAAATATATAATGCTTATTTAATTATTATATCATAATATGTAATTAATTTTATTTACAAAGCATTTCTATCAACTGACTTGCGCTGAGAATCGTTTTTTCGTTAGCAATAGTTTATCATTGCTTACAGATAAACATTAAATTATCTGTTAGCTATAACAGTGGCTGCACCCTTCTCCATTATCCTAGGATGTTTTTTTATTAGTATTATTTTAGAGTTAGAAGAAATAATGTTAGGTTATTTCATTTTACAAGAGAATCCAAGTTCAAAAATTATAATTGTTTTTTTGGATGTACATAATATATTTAATTAAAAATTTACATTTTCCAGCTTTAATTTTTCAATAATAAAATTGACAATTTTGGTCCTAATATTATAACGACATGGTCGTTGGTCAACATATCAATTTTATATTCTTTCAAATTAATTTTAATCAACAGGTATAAAACAAATATTGACAGGATAAAATACATTCGTAAAATGTCAAATGTAAAGTGTTTATAATGTAAAGAAAACGGTATAAAAATAAGTTATAAGTTAAAACCTGTTAAGAAGTTAAGAAGCGGTGGTTTACTTGAGAAGGGGATAGGTAATAATGGCATTCTCTCCATCACCGTGGTTCGTATAACATATTTATATATGTAAAATATTGATTTATTAAAATAAAATAGCTTGTTTTTTTTTTTAAAATTTAAAATGTCAATACTTATATACACAATTTAAAAAACCATATTACTCGATCGCCGTATTTCTTATCATAATATAATTTTTGTAGCTGTAACATAATTTTCTTTTAAGAAATTTTTAAAATACTTTTCAACTCCTCTTCCCCCATAAGAAGATTCACTTTTCGAAATTAATTTCATTACAACAGAAAAATATTTTGTTTACTTTAAAATGTCTTTAAATTACTTTAAAATACCCACCGACGCCACCGTAACGTACAACGCTATCGGTGAGAAACTTATGAAACTTACATATTATAATGCCTTTTGAACCATAATAAACATTTAATTTGCAATAAAAAAAAAAAAAATTGAAGTCATTAATCGAGATGAAGACTATCCTATCATTTAAGTTGGATCAAATCACATACATTAAGCATTATCTTATTAAAATTAATTGAGCAGTTTTAGAGTGCATCGCACATAAATACGTCGTACGCGTAATTTTTACACATAAGAAAATTCATGAATGCCAATTTTAAGTCGGTAAATATATGTCTGAAAATGAAAATATTTGAAAACTAATTTTTCGGAATATTCGGTTTCCGTTACTTTTATTAGATTAACGATATTATAATATTACGATATATATACGATATAATATTTGCGTTTTTAGTGACATACTAGCACAGCTATAGTTTTGTATTAAAAGTGGGAGCTATGAATATTTTTATTTTTATCATAGGTGGAAGTAGGTAACAGGAGTTTGTTGAACTCCTGACGTTCAACTTCAACAGATATTTAGAAAAGGAGGTTTCATGAATAATTTGCATTTCAATGCAATCATTTTTATAAAAACGTGTAAAAACATAGACGATTGACCATCGTTCGCACGATGTTTGGACCACTGTTGTAGGTGAAAAGTTGGTTGGTAAGCTAAATAAACGTAAAGAATTTAATTTATATCTGTACACAACGAAAAACGATTTGAAATGAAATTCCTTTCATACATGTACGTACATTTTCCCGTTTTTCTCAATTATTATGAAAACCGCTTGGAAAATCAAAAAAGAGATCTCTTTAAAGTACTACTCAGATAAAATGTCTCCTCGCGAAAAGGAGGACTACACTTGCATTTGAAATACTCAAAGCAAGATTTCAGGTAAAAAATGTGTTCACCGACATAAGAAAATATTTCTGTAGGAGAATTCCGAGCAAAGGCGATAATTGCGTATTTCCCCCCCCTCTCCCGTTTACACTCTAGCCGTAGCTAGAACCCGCCGAGACGGTTTTCCGGTGAAACGGTTAGCGCGCCTCTTTAAACAACACCGCGCAATTGCACTGCACCGCGGTTCGCCGTGTGGATAAAGTCCTACGGCGGGATCGGAATGAACAGCGACCGTGAAAGCATAACAGTCGTTAACTCGGATCGCGAACGGGCGCAGTACGCGTGCGCGAGTAGGGCCAGCGGGGTGAGGCGGGGGCGGTAGTGGGGGGAAGGAGCGGGACGGCGGACGGGAGAGCTATACCGCCGGTGCCGCGTCCGACGCATCGCGGATCGGTTTCAACGAGCGTGTAATTCGTCTTTTATTTTTTTTTTTTTTTAAAAAACTGCGCGAAACATCGATTGTTCCGCGCGCGGCGATAAATTAACATAAATAAATAATTATTGTCGGCCGGCAGGGTTACGCGCACGTGTCCGGCACGCGCCCGTTCACTCGAACCTGTCAACGGCACATTACCGTCGGCCGTCGATCGATTTCGATTTTTTTTTTTTCTTCTCTCTTTCTTCTCCGCGCGATAATAATTAATGTTATCGGGTCTCGGGCGCTCGCGATCTCCTCCGCCCCAACCTCCCCCCCCCCGCTAAAATACGAACGCGCCGGACGGTCCGGGTTCGCCGCCGTTGCGTTGAAAACCCGGGTATTTCGCGGCGGTTAGGCGCGCGCGCCTGCGCTTTCGACCTCAAACGCCGTACGACGGTACGAATGCGATACGACGCGAGAACGCGCGCGCGCGACCGACACCAAAGGCCGGGCGCACGTTGGCGCGCGGGCGACGTGGCGCGGCGTTGGAAAAACTGCGCGTTACCCCCGCGCGAGCGCATGTTTGCTACGCGGTTCCGTATCGCCGTTCATTGTTCGGCCACGAGGCCAAATACGCGATGGCTGAACATTGAATGAATTTAAGTTCTGAATCAGATCCCGATGATGAAATTGACGGATTGTTCTTGCTGTGTTCGTCAAATAAACGTAAACAAAAGTAATTGTATAAAAAAAAAACAAAAAAAAGCCATAACAAATTCAATTTGTCGTCGGAATATTTTCTGACAAACGGCGTTCTAATATCGGACGGTTTCGATTGGTAGACACCTTTTTATCACCGATTTTTTAAAAAAAAATATCGACTCATCTAACTAAAATTTAAATTAAAAATTATAAAATTATATCGTGTCGTATATTTTCCAAAAGCGCGTGACACGTGTGCAGTACACTGTGTCGTGAACACTGCGTGACGCAGGCCGACATAGGCACAGTGATGCTCTGTCCTGCACTGCCTCTCAACATGCGCAAGTAATTCCTAACTAATAGATTACAGAAAACTATGCTGCGCAGCTCTACGTCGCCTACGTCTCAATGTACGTCCAGGGCGGCCCGCGTTGTTCTCGGGATGTTCCGCTCCAGGAACGAATCGCACAGTGGCGTGCCCGGGATTTATCGACGGGAAGGGACGTAGCGAATGGGAATCGCGAATAAATCGCGAAATTCGTCTTCTCTACCCGTCTCGGCTTAGGTTTTGGGAATTGATAATTTAAAAGACTTAAAAAAAAAAAGACCAATGTCCAATCGAAATACGTCAAGTGTTTCCACGTAACTCGGCCGAAATATATATGCTTTTCGAACATTAGATTAATCATATTTTCTTGTATTTTGAGCCGATGTGGGGTATAAACACCCTCTCCTGCGCGACACGCGCGAATAAATACCTACCTGTTCGATAATGGTCGTTAGCCCGGCGACAATATCAAACCCGAGAAAGCAGCGATGTGTTTATAGAGACACCGGCACCGTGTATAATAATAATTTTACGCTGTTATCACTGATAATCGACCACCTTTAAGATAAATTATCGAAAATAGCGTTGAATTAAAAAATAATAATACCATCCCAGTCGTCGGCTTCGGATATGACGCCTCCCCGAGCAAACAGGAAAAGGAAAATGGCCCGAATCGGTTGGGATTTTATTTTATTTGACGACCCCTCACGTCCTCACGCGTAACTAAGGTTAGGTAAACTAATGGAATTCACGGAAACCGAAAATAAACAAACGTAGACAATATTAACTTTTTTTTAACCGTTTTAAACATTTTCCGGTTTTTACTTTTCTTACCCATTCATTTTCATTACATTTTGTTTATACGAGCATGACCCGTTTCGCCCAAATATAATTGAGGCATTTTAAAATTAAGTTGGTAATGATTTTTAATC